GCCTCATAGAAAAGGCAGGTTTCCTATGTGAGGATGTGTGCAGTGTTTCCTGCCCCTTCCCGACTCTTCCTCACTGTCCCCAGTGCTGGACCCTCATTAGGCTCCCCTCTGACATGCTTATTGTCACTCTTCTTCTCTTTCCATCCTTTTATCCCACTGCTCATCCATCGACACTGCTTCTCCACCCATTTCACAATGGCCCCCTTGCATCTTCCGCTTTGCATTCCCCAAACACCCAAACACACACACTAACCCAACTTCTCAAAATACCTTGGATTTATTTTTCACTGTTCTCTCGCACTGTGTATATATGGAAATTCATCTATCCATCCGTCCATTCATTCGTCAAACCGCTTGTCATATGTATGGTCATTGGATCATTTCTAATTATTATAACTAAATAACATGATAATTTTTGCTGCATATGTTTATTTGAATTCTTTTGAGATATAAAGTCAAAATGACCCTTTATTCACTCTGAGGTGGAAATGGGCTTCATTAAAGATGCACTACTAAAGACTAAGTTTATTTCAAAGGTTCATTGAACTATATAATGTAGAAAAAGTTAAGAAAAAATTAACTTTTAGGTAATTTAGAATAAGCAACTAATAATTTAAAATATTTAGGACTTACAATGTCAAGTTTGAGGGTGAGGATAGAAATGCCAAGCTATTAAACATGCTCATTTGGTAACTGGTTCTTCTACAAAAACATTTTAGACAAAACAATTGCACCTTGATACTATGGCTATCACAGCTAGACTTGACTTAATTGTGGACTAATATTTTCATAATTTAATGTATTTATGAAATAAATATTGTAATACTGTATTTACCTGCGGAAACTCTGAGTATGCTATTATAAAGCTATAAAAGCTAAGAATTTGGACCTCATTGTTGCATATATTTCTGAGCATGCACATTGAAGAAGTATTGTGGCTGGGGGAATACCCATAATTTTGTGTGTTTGGTCAAAACACAGAATTATGAGGATGTGTGCATTTTATTGTCATCTAGAATTAAATATTTATTTAGTGTTTGATGCTTTTTATTTTGTATTTGTTTGTTTGTTTGAAGTCAGCATTAGCATGATTAATGTTCATTTTGGTTAGGTGTATACAATTATTTGAATGCATTCATCATACCAGCTGTTATATAGTTGAGTTTAGTGCATGGACTTCAGAGCCACACTGTTGTGGAAACTTGTTTTGTAAAGTTAAAGTAGTTTATTCAACCCTCTATTTAAAATTGAACAAATACTTGTTGAAGAAAGTTAGTTGACTTTAACTTAATATGTTGATTGATAGTGAACAATCAGGTTTCGATCTTTGATCTCAGATTTCATGTTCTACAAATCATGTCCCGTTTATTCATCACAGATAGGACTATATTCTGGTCTCAGTAGTGTACAGTATAATATCTGGGGATTGCACGTACACTCATTCTTCTACTGCAGATTGTCTCTTTACTCTCTTCACTATTTTCTGTCCCGTATTTTATCTATAGGCCTATGTTGATATTATATCTATATATCAATCAAATGTGGAAAGAAACCCTATCCCCAGCACACACATGCATACTCTCCAAAACCATTAAGAACGCTGGACCATTCACATGGTCTTGAGTTGTGATCTTCAGAAGAAAGTTAGATGTGTTAAAACAGTTTCTCCTAATTCTCTTAAATTACTTTCTTTTAATGCCATTTGTTTATATGACCTTTCAGAACGCTGCTTTTCCAAACCCATAAGTGCATATAAACATGGCAGGTATAATTGTTCATTTATATGTTTTGAAGTGGTACTGTGGTTAGATTGTGTTGATCATATTGCTTTCCCACTCTATTGTCTGGTTGGCTGTCGTTCTTTTTCCATGGCTCTGCTCTCTGTGTGTTTTCTTTCCAATACCCAGCGCTGATGACAGAGCAGGAACTGGCACACCTTGGCCAGGCCCACGGGGATGTGGTAGGCAATAGAGTATTCAATTATTATATCATTTTTCAAAAATAACAATAAAAAAGAGAAAAAAATAAATAATATTTTTAATCTTTAATCATGTCAGAATTTGAAACCTAAAAGGAGATTTTGAATGGTTTTGAAGTTGAAGTGTGTACTTCCGTGTCTTTTCTGTCACCAAATGACATTAGTTTGATTATTTCAAATTGGTTTGCAAAACTCTTCACCTATCTTCCATTGGTTTTGGATTAACAAATATTCCACTCCAAACACAAAATTAAGCTCAAATAAAAAATTATTGTGTTTGAATATGTCTATGTCCATACTATATAGTAGGCAAAAAACAGTATGTGACATGAGTAGTATGTCCGAAGTCACAGTTTTCACAAAACAGTAGGTAAAAAGTTCCCCAGATAACTTACTACTTATAGTGAGATTCTGAAGTGAGCATTTGATGGACAATTTACTATGAGGCCACAGCAGCGGAGTTGTGAATGGCAATGAAGCGATGCCACAGGTCACATGACAGTGAAATCATGGCAGATGTAGTACATCCACATTTCATTCATCCTATGCATAAGCAAGTTTCAAACCAAATGTAGCACCTACTATACATGTGATTTCAAACACACTTCTGTGTACAATTTCAAACTACTGTAATAATGGCTTACTTATAGCTTTCTTGTGAAACTGTGATAGAAGAAAGTATTTTAATAGATAGAGATTAGCATCTTGTAATATTACATGAACTTATGGAAGCATAATAAATTACCAACACAAAGAGGACCCTTTGAGGGCTTTTCCATGCCCGCTGTTAGCATGAGTCCGAAAGATAGGAAGTGCTCTCTTTTTCCTGATCCCCTGCTCAGAGGGGGAAGTGTTTTAGGTGCTACGACTCCCAGCAGAAATGACCAGGACAGGAAACGTGGTGGTTGGAGACTCAAACTCTAACCCTTTTGATCAAACCCCCACCTGAAAACCAAGACTTTTTAAGACCCATAATGCATCAGTTCACATGTCCCTACCAACAGTAGCTAAAAAGAGACTAAATGAGCATGCCAAAGTGTAAACTTACTTCAAAGTATAAGGCAAACAAGGGACAAAAATGTCTCTGGTCTTCTCAGACAAGGTTAATTTTACACAAAACCAAGTCAGTTTTGTGATTTATTAAAGATGTAAATCTATACCTATTTATCAGATTACTTAAGAAATGCTTTAACTGTATTTTTCTTTCAAAACTTACCTGCGCAGGTAAACCACTTTTTGTGTATTGTTTAGTATTCCTTTAATTAAGCCTCCCATACACTCAACATTTCACTGATTCATTAGTTATGTCACACAGCAGTAGCATAATGGGGAAACGCAAAGTTGCCATAACTGTAAATGTTTAGTCACTGTCCTTAAGAAATTGTATAACCACTGTAAACAACCAACAGCTGACCCCAAGCCTGATATTGTCCATCACTCGTACACAAGGCCTTAGTGCATTGTTTGCTTCTTGTGTCATACGGCTTACTGTTACATAACAAAACACCCTCCCCTTCCCAGTTTTATCCTTTGGATCCACCCATATCCCACTGGCAGCTTCTCTGGGACATTCTATCTCAGCTTGCTTGAAAAACAAGGGAGGTTACATTACACCCCCTTACCTCCAGAGAGGGGGGGAAATACTATTAGTGACTGAAGTGCTGTAACACTTTACAGTACAAGAAACATGGCCACCCAGATTGTTTACAGACAATGAAATAGTCAATGTGTCTTCCTCTGCAAAATTAATCTTTGCAAAATGTAGCATTTCTATCAGTAAGTTACAGTAAGAGACGTCCAGATAGTTGTAAAGACAGTTTTGTACATTTAGAAATGTAAATTATTCTAATTATACTGAAAAAAAACCCCCACTGTTATCTCAAAAAGTGCTATTCAGATTCAAGTATCAGTTCATATTCTTTCTGATTGGCTGAGATCTGTGAAAACATCCGTTTTTAAAGGCATTTAAAGCAATCCCTGTCATTTGTTAGGTTTGTCTGGCAACCATAATTGGCTTTGGCCCCTATAATTTTAAAAGATATATTTTTAACAATAATTGTATAATTCTGAAAACTAAAATAAAGCAATAATGAAACTGAACTTACCTCCCTACGCCAACAAGACTTATTTGCGAACGTTCGTTCCAAAATGCTCTCGATGTGGTGCAATTACGTTTTGGCAAATTGACGGCAAAATTTCTATGAATTAATATGATCTTTCGTTTTTTACAATTTGTTTACGCCCCGCTGAGTGTTATAGGTTTTATAAAACTGTACGAATTCATACAAAATCTCCAACTCACAAATGACAAATAATTCTATTTTTATAATAAGTTCAGGGTGTAGGCTATATTTAACGCAAAAAAAAGCTTCTTTTGTAGTTTTTAAGTGCTCAACAAGGTTAATAAACAAGGTTAGACGATCCTTCTGCCAAACCAAAGTTCTGCCAAGCTAAGAAAGTTCACTATGTTTAGGCTAATTGAGATTTTAATTCGGACTCCATAAGCATAACTTTTACGACTGAAATAGGAATTGATTTAACTAGCTTAATAATAAAAAAGCATATAGGTATTTTCATATCACTTTACACGTTCAGTAGCCTACCACTCTTTTAAAGAAAACATTTAATTCTCCATTCAAAAAAATGTAAATTAATCACAATACTTTTAAGACGCAACCCAACTTTCTTCAGACTTTATTTGTGAGGGTTTAAACCTTAATTATGGGGGTCACCATGCCCCCCTAACCCACCATGATTTTCACCCTGCATGTAGAGCAGTTTGTTTAGTGGAAATTGTGCGTTTTGTAGGCTACATCTTCAATTCCTGATTGAATTAGGTTCCTATCGTAATCGATCTCAGATAATGTGACTGTTCTGTTTAGTCCCGGAGGTCTATATTCTCTAGCCCTTCGACCTCTAGAGTCTGCAGACATTAAATGAACAGTAATGTCTTTGAGTGTTGCGCTCCTCCCTCGCCTTCCTCTCTATCAGTGCACTTCAGTCACGCGTCCGTCAGTGAGCGCGCAACAGGTCACTCTCAGTGACAAACTCAGAACTGTCCCTTACATAGTCTGTTCTTCATCCGTCTCTGCAAGGTTAAGGAATTTAAAGCGCACGACTGTGTCGTATTATGGTGATGAGGAGTTAAGGAATTTCTGAATTTTGGTTTCATGTCGGGACGGTCCAGCGTTACTGTCGGGCGATGGCAAAGACATCTCATGTGCTTTCTCTCGTCGACATCCTCTTTACCATCAACTTGGTTATAGGTATGACATAAGCGTCTCTAAATATACAAAACACACTCTGATATTAAATATACAAATGTTCACATCATCATTAGCCTACTTTTCTCATCATAGTAGGCAACCTAGGTATTGTAATTAATCGTACTGTTGCCGCTGCAGTTTCGTCATGTTAGCTATGGATTATAAAAGCCCTATTAAAATATTTTCTTGTGAAAACTGTACAGCTGTTACTGATTTGAAACAACTTATTGTTTTTCTCGTTTTTTAAGTGTTATTTCACCTGTAGTAAATAGCCTATATATATATATTTTTTTTTAGATGCAAACAAATTACAGATTAATTTAAGGTGAAATAGTTAAAAAAAAATTTTTACGATAAAATAATATTATGAGCATTTTGTTTTTATGAATCAAAAAGTATGCTATTTATAGCGTTATAATTTTTATAATAGCGTTCCCAGAAATCCTTGCACAAATCGCATTTGTATAGATTGCTATTGCCAGTTATGTTCATTTGTTGTTGTTGTTGTTATGTTGCATTTATGTAATTTTTAGTATAGCATTGCTTTATTGTTGTGCTTTCTCTTATGTTGTTTTCTGTCTTAATATTGGTTGTAGTTGGTGAAGTCAGGTTAGATAATGTAAGTCATCATGTAGTTTTACATATTTGAATCAATATTATTGTCAGATCATTTAATAGTAGCATGTAATTGTCAGTATGTTATATTATTTAATGAAATACAGTTAAATATTGTTGATGTGTTGTTGCTTTTTAAAGCTTTATCAACCAGAGCTTAAATTTATAAACTAAATTTAAAAACTTAAATGTATAAATGTAATGTCTCGGTTACGTATGTAACCCTCGTTCCCTGATGGAGGGAACGACGTTATGTTGAACGACATATGGGGTTGATGGAGCGACGAGACATTACAAACATTAAAAAACCCATTATAAACGAGGCATTTGTTGCATCCAGTAGGGACATAATTACTGATTATAATGACTTACACAGTCTTTTACGCGTTGCGTTGCATCGCGCCGCGTAAACATAAAACCATGTCTGCATTTGTGATTGGAGAAATGACAAACAACAAGCGCTACTCTACACTGCTCAAAACTCGTGTTTGAGTTTGAATTTGCGCCAATGAAAATTGGCTAGTGGATTTTGCATGCCGAGCCACTCCCTGTGCCTATGGGTATATAAGGTGACAGCGCGCATCCACTCATTAGGTTTTACACTGAACGCTAAGGTTGCAACCTTCCCAAATCCCCAGCGCAAATTCACTGACCTTGGTACCGAAGGGGACCAAATGGTGAGTACATCGCTGCTGGAGAAGGCCAAGCTGCTGTTGCGTCCACAAAAAAGTTTTTGGAATGGATTTCAACCTTCAGTGAAAGATTGCTTCAAATCTTTCCTATTTGTTCCACCAAGTCTGACTGCTGGGGGTGCTGGAGGATGCGTAACTAGGGTTCGCCAACCGGGGAACTCTACTGGGAGAAGAAAGGTGCTCGCATCCCCGTGTGAGGGGGAAATGGCGCAGCAAGCGTGACTCCAAGCAAGATCTTCCCACCAATTACCTGTTACCCAACATACGGGAAGAAACCGGCTCTACACGAAGGTTGCAAAACCAGCCCGCAGCTCGACAGATGTCTGCCAGAGAGGCGCCGTGCACCAGCACCCAGGAGGAGGCAACACTCCGAGTGGAGTGAGCTCTCACCCCCAGGCGGCACAGCTCGCCTTGGGATTGGTACGCCAAGGCAATCGCATCCACTATCCAATCTGCTTGGAAACAGCCTTCCCTTTCTGCTGACCTCCAAAACAGACAAGGACCAAGGCGATGGCATCCACTATCCAGTGGGTCAACCTCTGCTTGGAGACAGCCTTCCCTTTCTGCTGGCCTCCAAAGCAGACAAGGAGCTGCTCAGAGCTTCTGAAACTCTGGGTGCGGTCCACGTATATGCGTAATGCTCTTACGGGACACAGCAACGCCAAGGCTGGATCTGCCTCCTCTGGGGGCAGCACTTGCAGGTTCACCACCTGATCTTGGAACGGAGTGGTGGGAACCTTGGGCACGTATCCAGGCCGGGGTCTCAGGACAACGTGAGAGTAGGCCGGCCCGAACACAAGGCACTCTTCACTTACCGAAAATGCTTGGAGGTCCCCGACCCTCTTGATGGAAGTGAGCGCGATCAGGAGCACTGTCTTAAGAGACAGGAACTTCAGCTCAAATGAATCAAGCGGCTCAAAGGGACCCCACTGAAGTCCAGCCAGGACACCGTCCACGGCATCGTGATGTGCTGCGATAACAGCCACATACACTTTCAAGGTGGAGGGTGACAGCCTACGCTCCAACCTTTCTTGCAGGAAAGAAAGCACGACTCTAATTGAGCATCTCTGGGGGTCTTCTCAGTGAGAAGAACACCAATTCGTGAACAGACTCCACTTCAAAGCATAGGTATGCCTCGTAGAGGCCGCTGGTGGTAGATCACCTAGGTCTGCCGCGTCCCGTCCAGAAGCCACACATGGAGGTTCCAGAGATCTGGACGCGGGTGCCATATGGTGCCCAGCCCCTGAGAAAGGAGGTCCCTCCTCAGGGGTATGCGCCAGGGAGGGGCTGTCACGAGGAGCATTCTCGTCACTGTTGACCCACGAGCCTTGCAACCGGAGGAAAAGGAAACTGCTCTTTTTTTGACAATGTGGTCGCCGCTGGCTCAGAGGCGAACAAAAAGAAAAGGGAACAGAAGATTCTCCACCCGGCCCTCCTCCGGGGGAAGGAGCGGCGCTGTGTTTGCCACCTCCTGAAGAGCAGTCTTCCACATCTCCTTTGGACGGGAGACACGGACAATTCCTCCAAGTGGCGGCGTTTTGCGGGCACAGGTGCACCGCAACCGCTCTCTCCACCTGGGGGGAATGTCCACGTACCCCCTAGCTGCCCCACCATCGAGGGAAGTGAGGATGGAAGAGGGAGACGAGCGGCTTCTGGCCGTGAAAGGGGCCGTCCACCTGGGGGGAATGTCCACGTACCCCCTAGCTGCCCCACCATCGAGGGAAGTGAGGATGGAAGAGGGAGACGAGCGGCTTCTGGCCGTGAAAGGGGCCGTCCACGACTTCGTCACCTCTTCATGCACCTCCGGGAAGAAAGGAACTGGGGCAGGACGCGGTTGTGAGCCGCGCTCCGCACCCAGAAACCATTCATCCAGCCGCGAGCACTCAGGACTGGGCGGTGTAGTCACCTCCAGCCCGATGCTCGCAGCTGCCCGGGCAAGCATGACCGACAGCTCTGGGTCAGATTCGGCAGTGGCGACAACACCGAGGGGGGCAGCCCCGCAGAATCTTCATCCTCAGAGGCTGATAGCCCATCCCCCGATGCTGCAATCGACATCTGATCCTTCGGCGGACCACCGAATCACACGCTGGGAACGCCGTGAGATGGCCCTGCAGAACCACTCGGCAGCCGCACAGGACATGCATTGCGGGAGGAGTGAGAGGTCCGTGGGCCATGGCCCGACGGAGAAGCTCTCACTGTTACCCTCACATCTTCCAGAGCACTAGCCGGCGGTCCTCTGCTTGCGGCAGAGAAACAGGGACGGGTAGTGACAGAGGGGTCTGCTCCACTCCCCTTGAGGAGAGAGAGACGCGATCACAGCGATGCCATGGTCATACGCCCACAATAGACGCATGACTCATCCACGAGCGCCGCTTCAGCGTGCTGAAGGCCCAGACACTGAAGACAACGATCGTAGCCATCAACAGAAGACAGGAAACGACCGCATCCAGAAGGACATGGATGAAACGGCATCTTGAAAAAGACACGAATCGTCCGTGATTTGCTCTTTTAGAGGAAACTGCTCTTTTAGCTGAAGGGCCCAGGGGATTCGATGCTGACAGGGACACCGCTGTAACGCGCCATAACACCAACCAGGAACAGCCTCTCGTTGCACTCAAAAATGAACGGCTTTGTAGCAATGATTATCATCAGCTACTCAGCTCCGAAGCAAAAATCTAATGAGTGGAAACCTAATGAGTGGACGCGCGCTGTCGCCTTATATACCCGTGTGCACGGGGAGTGGCTCAGCGTGCAAAATCCACTAGCCAATTTTCATTGGCATTTTCTCTTAAACTCAGAGATGATTGGCCTCCCAAGTGAGACCCCATATGTCGTTTGACATAACTCATAGTGACCGACAGATAGGGAACTAAAATGTAAAATAGAGATTAAGAGTTCCTTCAGTATAAAATAGCAGAATGCATTTATTGTTTGATTTTGAATTTTCATCACAGTATTTATAATGCTGTATGTAATATATAACAACTGCATTAATCAATGGAACCTTTTTTCTTGCTCCAATTCCATTGAACTTATTCAAATTAAATGTGTAGTTTATCTAGTGAGAGATGTTTGCTTTTAGAATAGTTAAAAATAAAACTATTCTTTCTTGCCCTTATCTTGTAATTCCCTCGGTTTGCTCTTATTCATCAGATACAATCAAGCCTTCACCACCATTGTTGTTTCAAATGCTTTCAGTGCCTGGCAATTTAAATGTTAAAACAAACAGTTGAATAAGTTAGTCTCCATGGAGTGCATGTGTTTTAGCATGATTGTGTGTGCCCATAAGAGTGTGTGTGTTCCCAGAGCTAGTTCCTCTGGAGCAGGAATCCCACCTCAGGCTTTGGAGCACGGGGCCATTTAGCCCGGCCCCGGCCCATCTGCCCAGGCTTCCTGTTTTGACACATCCAGGCCTCCGTGCTGCTCTTGCAGTTCCAGTGGAAAAATATCCCAGGGTCCCACATTACGCTGCTCCATTCCACAATGCACTGTGCCATACTCTACACGTCTGCATCCCTTATATCCAATGTAAAACCAGGCCAGGCTATGGACAGGCATTCACGGTCCCACCACTCCAGTTGACTTTGAATCCATGCTCATGCAGTAGTTTGAGCAGCAGAGCAGCACAGTCTTTCTTTTAACTGCACATACCTTTTTCAAAGATAAATTGTTGTGATTTGTTGATCATACAGTAGATACAGTAGTCTCTTTATGTGTGTTGCAAATGTACTTGAGATAAAAGAGAAAAGGGAGCTGCTTTCAGATGAAGTTGAAGATAAAGTGAAGTTTAGGATTGAACTAATTTATGGGTTTAAAGTTAACCATATTAGGGAGATCCTAGGAAAGGTGCATGCTGTACCTCTTTAAGTTTATTTAGTTTTGAGGTTATTGTAATATATTACAGCCATATGTACAGTGGTTTATTATGCTGAGGATGATGATCCTACTGTCTAGTGTTTAGTTTTAATGTGAAATATTGTGATATGTTGTCTAGATAACAATTTGCAATGGATGTTGTGTCTTTCTTGGTTTAAGTTGGTTTAATTCAACAAGATAAAAAGCAGGAATCTGGTATCATCTGTGTCTTTACTTTATTATTTTATTTTAAGATTATTTTTCCTCCAAAAACAAACAAAAAATGGTAACATTTTATTTTAAAGTGACAATTACACTAGTTATACTAGATATACTTACTATAGTAATAACAGTTATGCATAACTAAGAAACTAACCCTAAACCTAACCGTAACCTTAGTAAGCACATGTAGTTAATTAATATTATCCAGTACTTATGAAAAAAAAACAAGATCAACCAGACTTAAGTTATTTGCACCTGTAATAAATGGCACATATGAAATTGATCTAAAGGCAGAGTAAGTGTTGATCTAAAGTCCTCATTAAAATAATTTAGTGAGTATTTATGTAAATATCAGCAGCTTTTCTTAATTAAAACCTTCTGGTGTATTTTTTTCTTGCAGCGATAGAGCTAAGGTTTGTGCCTGATCCTCCAACCTTAAATATCACTGAGAAGACTCTCAAAATCAATGCTTCAGATACACTGGAAATCACATGCAGGTAAGCTTTGCTTCTGGAGAAGAGCAATTCTGTCTTCATTCATTTTCATTCTGAAGCTACTTTTCCCCATAAGGGTGCTGTTTTTGTTAGCTATTAATTTTTTATGGCAAAAACAGAAGCTAAACAATGTAATTTTTGCTTGAACATTGTCTTTTCAATCTGTTACACAGGGGACGTCAGATCCTGGAGTGGTCTACACCTCACAACCGAACCTGCTCTGAAACCTGGCTCACCACAACAGACTGTAGTGGCAATGGACTGTTCTGTAGCACTTTAACGCTCTCAAAAGCAGTAGCCAATGAGACTGGAGAATATCGCTGCTTCTATAAAAACCTGCCTATAGAGGATGGAAAGACTTCTATATCTGTCTATGTCTTCATACAAGGTATGATTTTCGTGTGTAATTTTTAAAGTTTTCAACAAATAGATGAAGAAGTTTTTCATAACTTTCTGACCCAGTCTCCCACTCTCTTCTCGCTCCCAGAAAGTGGGAGCGAGAGAGTTGGAATGTTACAAAAATGTATTCATCGCATACTTCCTCTGTTATCCTTCAGGATAACCTCTTGACCTCTTCAAACTTTATAACCTCTTCATTCTGGTGGAACCACCACATTTTACTTCGCTTTTCAACCATAATAGCTGTAAACTTCTGTCTTGTCCAGACAGACAAAATATAGGAAATGGGTTGTTGTTAGTGTGATTTGGTAAACTTACTTCATTCCATACCTATGAAACCTGATCAAATGTGCATAACAATTTGTAAGTACTGGTGTATTATACATGATTTTGTCAACATTATCTTTTCTGCATGTGTTTTCATAAATAACGTTGTTGGATAAATATATACAATAGACATGCTTATGTTTTTAGATTACCGTACGCCATTTGTCCGAATGGCTCAAGATTATGATGTGGTGTTCATTCGTGAGGGAGAACAGGTGGTCATTCCCTGTCTGGTATCTGTGGAGAACCTAGACGTCACACTGTACACAGTGAGTGTTTATACACACACATTTTCTCCTACCCTACATTGGTAACCTGCAAATGTTACCTTCTATTTCTAAGGAGCTATTTCTGTTTAATCTAAACGTACATTTTCATTGGCATAATTTTTATGTGTTAAGAATAGTCCAGTGATGTTAAATAATATTTTTGATCTAAGTAAAACCAGTTAATTTTGCTGTTGTTATTATTTGTGCAAAACTTGTAGTGTTTTCAGCAAATTACACTACCATTAAAAAGTTTAGTTCTTTTTAATGTTTTTGAAAGTCTCCGTATAAGGCTGCATTTATTTGAACAAAAATACAGTAAAAACAGAAATATTGTGATATAATATTACAATTTAAATTACCAATTTTCTATTTGAAATATAATTTATTCCTGTGATGAAAAGCTGAATTTTCAGAAACCATTACTCCAGTCTTCAGTGTCATATAATCCTTCAGAAATCATTCTAATATGTTGATTAGCTGCTCAAGAAACTTTGCTTATCATTATTAAAGATGATTTTCATCGTGCTGCTTAATATTTTGTGGAAAATGTTTTTCAGGATTCTTTAATGAATAGAAAGTTCAAAAGAACAGCATTTAGAAAAAATCTTTTGAAACATTATAAATATCTTTACTTTCCTTATTTGATCAACTGAATTCATCCTTACTTAATAAAAGTATTAAGGCCCGTTCACACCAAGGATGATAACTATAAAGATAATGATGAAGATAGTTCTAAAAATCATTCTCAATATTAAAGAATAGTCCACACCACATCTATAACGATAAAGGCACAGAGAAACGATATAGTTGGAATCACTTTCAGAATGATTTTTTTCAGCTGATGAACGATACAAACATTGACACCCAATCAAAATCCATCCTGCTATAATGAGCTCGAGAATTTAAAGCGGCAGATGCGTGTGTGCTTAAAATAAACAATAAACGCTGGTGTAAATGCTAATATCTTTATCTCTATAGTAATCTTTATAGTTATCATTCTTGGTGTGAACGGGGCTTTAGTGTCTTTGAAATTCTAATGGACATTATTTATATGCCTTATCTGTTGACTACCAATCCATAATAAATATCACAGATGCGACTTTAAAATATTATACTAATATTTTAAAGTTTATGTGTCAAGATCCCTGTGTTGTTTTGTGATTCACTGCTGGTGATGTGATGGGAACAATGTGTTTATGGTGTTTGTCTTCAACAGAAGTATCCAGTAAAAGAACTGGCCACTGATGGGAAAGAGGTTATCTGGGATAGCAAGAGGGGCTTCATCCTGCCTAGTCATGTGGTCAGCTATGCTGGTGTGGTCTACTGCCAAACCACTATACGAAATGAGACCTATCAGTCATCACCCTACATTGTGGCTGTCGTAGGTAAGCAAAAAAAGACAAAATGTTCATTTGCATGAAGTTTTGGGATTAAGAAATATGATATGACCATGGTTTGTGCATCTGACTTTTTGCAAGCATGTCAGAAATGATAAAACTGTTTTTGAAGAGGCAAGATTGCATTTGTTGAGACTGTAGAGCAGTCTGGTGTGAGATCAGCTGCCCTGGTCTCAATAGAACAATGCTCCACCCGGCACATCCCTTACTCCCCTTCCCTCTTCCGCAGGATACAAGATCTATGACCTCACCCTGAGTCCACCTCATGAGAGGCTAACGGTAGGGGAGAGGCTAATGCTAAACTGCACCGCTCACACCGAACTCAATGTGGGAATCGACTTTCAGTGGACCTTCCCTCATGAGAAGGTCAGTAACTTATTCAGAAAAGTTTAATATGTTAACCTCAGTCTTCAGCATTTGTGACATAATCTTGATTGCCACAGAAAAAACTGGACTAACTCCTGGAGTTTTTTTTTTACTTGTCTCCTTCCTGTTCTCTACATAAGTTGTCCGGTGATGAAAAGCAGCCAGAAACAGTCTAAACAAAAGCTGTCTGTTACGTTTTTATTTGATAGCAGGTGTGTGACAGCTTGCCTCTGTTGATGTATGAACCGTAAATGGTGACAAATAACTAGAACTTCACCTATATAAATATTATTCCATTTAAAATACCTGTTTTCATATATTTTACAATTTATAATTTATTCCTCTCGTGGCAAAACTGAATTTTCAGCATCATTACTCCAATCTTCTGTGTCACACGACCCTTCAGAAAACATTTTAATATGCTGATTTGCAGCTTAAGAAACATTTATTATTAATAGTATATATACAGTATATATATATAGAGAGAGAGAGAGAGAGAGAGAGAATACATTTCTAAATTGTAATATTTTCTAATATTTCTTTGGTAATTTACATAATGTAACACATGCCCAGAACATTCCTTTCAAATTTATCATCAGCTAATCTTTTCTGACATTTGTGTTTTACTTGAGACACTTCAATCATAATCTCAGTTTGATCTGTTTCGTATTTTTATAATTTGATTTGATTTTATAATTTGATTCGATTTGATTCAGCCCAGTCCAGCTCCGTTTTGGTTGGATTGCAATTCCATAAATAACATCATGCATTTCTCTGGCTGATTTTAAACCGTTTCTCTCCTCCTGTAGAGAGGCGTCAACAGCTCAATACCAAGGACACGCTATGAGACCAGGTCCTACAAGAAGAAGCTGTGGAACTCCTTAGAACTGTCCAATACTCTCATTGTAGAGAATGTAACTGTAAATGACACAGGAGAGTACATTTGCACAGCCTCTAGTGGTCAGATGCAGAAGATTGGCCGAGCAGCCCTCATTGTCTATGGTATGTGCTTTTAGAAAAAACAACTTAAAGGGATAATTCACCCAAAAATGAAAATTCTGTCATTAATTACTCGCCCTCATGTCGTTCCAAACCCATAAAACCTTCGTTCATCTTCAGAACACAAATTAAGATATTTTTGATGAAATCCAAGCTTTCTGACCCTGCATAGACAGTGAGAGAACTACCACGGTCAAGGCACAGAAACGTAGTTATGACATCTTTAAAATAGTCCATGTGACATCAGTGGTTCAACTGTAATGTTATGAAGCTGTTATGAAATGCTTTTTGTGCGCTGGGTCAGTCTGCCATCATTCACAAGAGTACCACGACAAAGAAAAGAAAGTGTTGAATAAAGTCGTTATTTATGTTTTCTTTGTGAGGGTGAGTAATTAATGACAGAATTTTCATTTTTGGGTGAACTATCCCTTTAAACAAAAGAGCGCATTATATCAGTGAAAGCACCTATGTTTCAGTGCTGCTGGCACACCTAGGCCAGTTATATGCTGCTGGCATAGATAGCATAAAGACCACATGGTTACTTTTTTTAGGGAGTAATGCAATATTGTAATGCATTACTTTTAAAAGTAACTTTCCCCAACACTGGTGCTAATGTATTGATTGATATTTCAGAGAAACCATTTATAGCGCTCAATGATCAGATGTTGCAGACTGTGGAGGCAACTGCTGGCCAGGAAGAGGCAAAAATCCTGGTTAAATATTATGCTTATCCAGAGCCCTCTGTCAAGTGGTAAGTGATTAGTGTATTATATTATATTGTATTATATTGTATTATATTATATTATATTATATTATATTATATTATATTATATTATATTATATTATATTATATTATATTATATTATATTATATTATATTATATTAAGTACCTATAAAGAATAGATTAGGATTTTGTGTAAGTCAGACTGAACTTTTCACTCTTGTCCATCCAGGTATAAGAATGATCAGCTGATAGTGTGGAAGGATGAGTACAGAATGAAGCCCAACAGAGGATCTCTTACTATATATGGGGTTACAGAGAAGGATGCTGGGAATTACACTGTTGTCATGACAAATAAGATTACCAAGGAGGAGCAGAGAAGAACATTTCAACTGTTGGTTAATGGTAGTGAATCTCTTCTCTTCTCTTCTCTTCTCTTCTCTTCTCTTCTCTTCTCTTCTCTTCTCTTCTCTTCTCTTCTCTTCTCTTCTCTTCTCTTCTCTTCTCTTCTCTTCTCTTCTCTTCTCTTCTCTTCTCTTCTCTTCTCTCTTCTGTATTAGTCTGTTAACTTGTGTGTTTATATGTACAGTTCACCCTAAGATCTTTGAGAAGGAAGTGCCGTTGGATCGAGATGTTCACATGTACGGCAGTAGCCCTACACTCAGATGCACAGCTAGCGGAGGATCCAGCCCTGTCACAATACAATGGCAGTGGATGCCCAGAGAGGACTGCCCAGTCAGATTTCTGTAAGTCTTGTCACACGATTTGATGCAATGTTCTTGTTTTGCTTCAAATGTATCCTGTGTAATACAGCCAAGAATGTAGACTGTTAAAAATAGAAACGTAATGTCAGATAAACGTGTCATTCATGTGGTAACATCAAACTTTTTTTCAAGTAAATTTATTAAAAATATTAATTAGTATAACTCAATTATCCTGATTTAATTAGGTTAGGGAAGTGAAAATAATTTGAAGATCGATTGCACATGCCACATTTGACAGTTTATACACACATGCATTATTTTTGTTAGTGTTTTACCAACATATTATTTTTGCTTCAGTGCAAACTGCTTATTTTCTCTTTAATCATACTGTACTATATTATGAGAAAAAAATCTAATATCTTGTGTGTGACATAGTGTACATACACCAGTATACCCAAACATATGTAGAGTATGTTTCTTTCTTGTTCTCTCTTTTCTGAATTTTTATATCTTTTCTGAGTGTTTATATTACTGTAAACATTGCTCTTGTATGACAAATTTGTTCATGATATTTTTAATTTGTACATTCATGTGGAAGAAATGTAATGCAAATGCTAAAACACGTATATCACAGCAAAAACAGAATTTCCTCTTGACCTCACAAACAGCTTGCTACTAGGAGGCAGCAGAAACCAAACAAATCTGCATTTGCCTGTAGCAAAACCTGTCAAAATCATACTCTCTAAATGGCAACATTTAAAAAGAAAACTAAACATTTAATATTTTTCCTGTATTTGTGTGGGGAAGCCAGTAACTGTGTTAAGTTGATGATAATATCATTAGTCATTGTTTTGCTGACAAATAAGCATGGAATGAGAATGTTTGCATGTCTTTGTTTGCTCAGTGCTTTGGCATATTTGTTCCTGGTGTTTAAGTGTGTCCCACAGTGCAATTCATTAGCATGTTGTGCTCTAAATGGGCATTCATCCTGAAACGACTGTTGTGATTGCCAGTATGAGAGAGATCTGCTATACTAAGAAATCAGCTCCAGTGAGCTTTGGTTGAATCGTGACTTTGATTGGCAGCCTGCATTCACAGAACATCACTTCCAAGGATGTTGTAATCATGTAATGAGCATTTAGGGCCAGGCATCACGCGAGCCTTATCTTCAGATTGCACCCTCACCTACTTCCGTAGTTCTCATCACAACTTCCTGTTGTTCTAAAAGCAGACGCATTCAAATCCCGTGTCCTTGATCAAACATGAAAATAACACAATGTCTGTCACTGCATCCTACTAACAAGAGTTCACCCTCGCTCTCACCTTTCATTACAGCTTTTATGTGTCCTATTTTTGTGTTTGTCTTTTTTTCCATCTCTTTTTCCCTTTTCCGCTCTGTCTCGTCTCCCATGGCTGACCTACATGAGGTGCTGATGTCCAACCCAAGTCTAAACCTGACATTTATAATAATTCCTATTGCTCATAAATATGTGTGGCCCAGAAGTGGAATAAGAGGAACGGAGTCTGTTATAGGATGGTCTAAATTTAGACGGTTAATAATAGGTGCATTGTTGTTGTTGTTGATTTCGTGTGGTGTTTTCTCTTCCTGCTGGAGATGTGTAGATAGTTACTGCTTTACTTTTTAATATTTTACGAGATTTTTTTGACTGCAAACAAACTGGTAAATCATATTATTATGTGTTATTCACAGACCTAAGTCAGACCAAAGTGTGATTAAGTGTGACAAGTGGAGGGAGATATCAAACAACACTGGGAAAAACCCCATCATCAACCCCACATATGTCATTGAACGCTCTCTTAAGGTAAACATCAATTCCAGTAGAGTGCCAGTCAGCCTTTGAACATGCAAAAAGCTATTTCTAAACACAAAATATACTGCTGGGTCCAAAAGTCTGAGAATATGATTCAAAATCTAATTTAAACCTGGCAATAAATGTGAAGCATAGAAATGTTAGAATGTACTGTAAAATAAATAAGATTCTGCACTATTTCTAGGTCACTAATCAAATAAGTGAATGTACAGCATGAAGTGCTTTGTAAGATGGTCAAATATTTGAAGCTTAAGATGGTCTGTGGATCATCACAATGATGCTGCAGAACATGATCATCAGATTTTAAGCACACTTGTTGAGTTCACGGGTTTCGCTTTCATTAAAGCAAAAGAGGCACAAACCATTTCTCAATTTACATAAATTTTTAAATTTAACTATTCACTCAAATTTGTAATGAAAATGCAGAGGAGAAGCATTTTCACTAGTGATTTGAGACTTTTGGACCACACTGCATTAATGGTTATTCTTGGTGAATCTGACTATAATATATTTTTAAAATCATCCATTGCCTTCGATAATGTTTTGATGATCTGCTGTTCTCCAATAGACCATCAGCACACTGAAGATCCAGAAAGCAGTTGATCATGCTCTCTACAGGTGCATTGCTTCCAATAAGATGGGAATAGAAGAGCGGGTCATTGTGTTTCAAGTAGCTCGTGAGTGCCGACACAGTCTTCACTCTACATCCCAACTTAAATAACTGCAATTCAATTTTAAGAAGTGGTCAAATCTGAACTTTTGATGTTTGTCTTCATCACAGGTTTCCTCAACCTAAGCGTCCTCCCCTCCAGCAATCCTACTGAGGGAGAGGATGTGGTAATGCGCTGTGTAGCCGATCGACTGCTGTACTCTAACTTGCGTTGGTATCGGGTAACAAACATTGCCAACCCTGATGCCTCTCCAGCAGCCGTGCCCTGTGATACCCTTACCCTTTCACCTCTCCACCAGACCAATGTCACCATATCAGGCCTGCAGGGCACCAATGCAATGCTGGACCTGCCCATACCCAATGCCACATTGATGGACCAAGGCCTGTATGCTTGCCAAGTGGAGAATGTGGGCACCAGTGAGAGAACCTGCTTACTTCACAACCTCAGACTCAGAGGTTAGTCCATAGCTTTACATTGAGTGATTTTTAGGAGACTTGTTTGAAAACAGTCATTATTTGTGTAATTTCATTAGTTGGTGATGCTAGTGGTGCAGAAATTGCACACTTAATAGACTATATTTAGTTGCATTGCTCAGTTTGCATATGTTCAGATGGGATATACTGCAGAAATCTTGCACAAGCTTGAATGTACATCACAGATCAGTTTATATGTTTCTGCAGCTCTTGAGATGTCGAGAATTGTGACCAATCTGACTGACCAGAGAGTGAATGTGAGCGACTCTACTACTCTAGTGTGTGAAGTGTCCGGCACACCAACCCCTACTGTAGTTTGGACTAAAGACAACCAGACCGTCATGGAGGGATCAGGTGAGCAACGTAAAACCTCTATAGAAGTACAAAAATATTATAGGTGCAAGAATAAACAACTCTCTCTATATCCGCAGCAATAATCAATTTGCAGTTGCCTTAGGATTGGAATACACTACACAGCTTTTGCATGCATTTTTGCTGTTTGCAGTTAAATTAAGATAAATATTAGATTAACAACTTAAAAAAATAGGAATATTAGAAAGAAAATAAGAAATGTTGCTGAAAAAAAATGAAAAAAAGCTAAATGAAAATAAAAAGGTAATTCAAAATATTAAAAAATATTATAATAGTATATAAATAATACAAAAATAACACTGTTTATGAGTCAGCACTGGTTGCCAAATGCCAAATACAGATTTTGGATAGTTGGAGTTGACAGATTTCACAGAAAATCATGTTGCATATAATGGCTACAGATTCAGATTTTGTACCTTTATACTATGAATCAATTTACTCAGAGGATATCAGTTCATATGTTGGAGGGAAATCTGATTTTAAATAATCGGAACTCAACTCTGAACTATTTTTGTTTGACCACAATTCTCAGGATTGAGAAGAAATTCATTTATTGTTTTGTTAAGCTGAATCTCTTAATAAAAAAAAAATCAGTTTTAGTGTGCTTTACAGACCAAATGAACAGCAGAAACTCACTCTGAGAGGTGATTAGTTTTCTTTTCCCTTAATTTTTGAGACGAATATCCAAATGTCTAATAGCTACCTGTTCATTTAGATCTGGGTTCCAACAGAGCAAACAAAACCAGTGATGTCAATTATAGTTACTGCATGTCACACAAATTAAATATTGATCAATTTTGGGTAATACGCTGTATAAAGCTGTAATAGGCAATTGTTACCTTAAGAAGCTATGTCTGTCTGACCCTTAAAATTAATTATAATCTGTTGTAGTCAAGTGTATTCATTGATATTAAATAATATTTATTGATTTGAGTAAAATCAGTTTAGATGTTATGCCATGAAACACATTAATTAGGCTACCTGACAAAGCATTTTTTACAGTGACAGTAATGTTCATGCATGTCTGTTGTCAGGTGTGATTCTGAAACGGTCAAATCGTGTCTTAACCATCCAACGGGTGAAAAAAGAGGACAGTGGTCTTTACATATGTACGGCGTGTAACCAGCAAGGCTGTGACTCTCACGAGGCTCGTATCACTGTAGATGGTGAGTGTGTAAACAAAACTCATTGCTTGATTTATTTATTTTATTGGTTTGAAGTTTTAAAAAAAGGGCAGTAGGACCTAAACATTTTTTTTTCTGTGAAGTTGTGCAACACTCCAAAGAGAAAGGAAAAATTGAAATCGCATCATATGACCCCTTTAATGTAATTTGTTTTTGAAAGAATCCTCTTATGCTTACAGAGAGTAAAAACAGTAATAATGTGAAATATTATTACAATTTTAAAATAACGGTTTTCTATTTTAATATATTTTTAAATGTAATTTATAAGTATAATTTATATACAAGTAATTTTTCTTCTTATTATTATTAATGTTGAAAACAAAAGAAAAGCATTTATTTAAAATATAAATCTTTTGTAACATTATAAATGTTTTTACTTTCACTTTTGATAAATTGAATGCATCTTTGCTCAATAAAATAATCAATTTCTTAAAAAAAAAAAATTACTGACCCCAAACTTTTGAACCGTAGTTTTATACCAAAAGATGGCAGGTAGATTCGCAGTAGTTTGTCTCGGTCTCCCACTGACTTTTTGCCTCATTGAGATTTGGTTGTAATCAAGGCCTTGTGGCAAAAATAGCTCTCTTTTTAATCTGTCAGGAAGGGGGCTCTGTTAGTGTACATCCTTTAGGGAGTGCTTAAAGAAAACAAAGCAAAATCCCAGAACACAAAAGAAGAGAGGGGCGTCCCACCCTCTCTCTCTCTCTATCACTCTCTGTTACACACATTTTTCCCAGTCACTTACATCTCTGTATGGTTCCGCCTCTTGCCTCACACACATAAAGGACAGAGAGTGCAAAGGCCCACAAATAACAGAGACATACTCAGTGTGTACGTGACTCGTTTTTCTGCATCACTGTTTCTTGTTGTCACTGCAAAGGCGACTGTCGCCTGACTGTCGCAACAAGAAACGTTAACTGTTCCCACAAAGAGTAAAAGATAGGAAGAGAGAAAGAAATCAACTAAATCATGTAGTGATCCACTGGGCAGTTGCATGTTCTAATATAGAAAAGAGAACATGGTACTTTTCATCTAATGTGATTTGGTTCTTGTTGGTCTTATTTTGATTGGATGAAATATCAGGTCAGCAAACACCTACTTCAAACATCTACTCAATTTTGGCTCTATCTATCTATCTATCTATCTATCTATCTATCTATCTATCCATCTATCCATCTACCTACCTACCTACCTAACTACCTACTCAATTTTGGTTAAATCTTGTATCTTTTTGTCATCTTTTTTTTGTGATGTCTGATTGATCATGTGACCCATCTCACAGGTGCAGAAGAAAAGATGAATGTGGAATTGATCATGCCTATTGGTGCCGTGGTCATCGCCATGATCCTCTGGCTCCTCATCGTCTTCGTCATCCGTAATAGGAAGCGGGTAACATTCCATCTCTTTTCCTTTTCCTCGTTTGCTTCCCCTCTCTCTTTTTCATGCACAGGCACACACTTCGCTCTCCTGACTGATCAAAACTGACTACCCGGACTCGGCTTACGTCGTCTCTATTGTATGCTCAGCCCACATTCTGCTGCGATGCGTCACGTACACCGGCCAGCCGTGGGCCCAAGTCCTGCTGTACCCCAGCCTTAATTCTGCCTCTGAGTATGAGAGTGGCTTCCAGTAACTCATTAGTGGGTGTCTTTATAATGAGGGCTTGATTCTGGGAGACTCAAGCTGGACAAAGTTGGAGGTCTTGCACTGTGTCTGTCATTCAGTCATGCTCACCCTTTCCATCCCTACCTCTTTACTCTCCCGCAGCCTAATGAAGGAGATCTGAAAACTGGCTACCTGTCAATCATTCTGGACTCAGATGATATGCCAATGGATGAGCACTGTGAGAGACTGACCTATGATGCAAACAAGTGGGAATTCCCACGTGACAGACTGAAGCTAGGTGAGACTTGGCTGAACGTGAGAAATAAACCAATAATAATAATTATAATAATAAAAAAATAAATAAATAAATAAATATCCAGGAGTTAAATTAACTAGGACCAATCTGGAATGGCTTTCCAGTACTTTTGATTAAAAAAAAAATAAATAAATATATATATATATATATATGTTCAATAGAAACATTCTGTCTTCATTTAATGAGTGTACTTGTTCAATGCAATTAGTTCATTACATGAACTCCCTTTTGTTAATGGAAGACTTCGTAATATGCAATATGTTTGTCTAGAACAGAAAATCTATTACTATCTATTGATTTGGAGTAGCATTTATTTGCTTGTTTGTTAACTGGTTAATTGGAATCTGCATTTAAATCTGGGACTACTAACTTAAAATGCAAGAATTGTACCACTGGACCAAAGTATACTATGTAACACATTCAGTGATATGTTTTTTTATCTCTATATAACATTTATTTATTTATTTATTTATTTTGTTAGTTGGTTGTTGGTTAATTGGAATATGGTTTTGATTTTAGGATTAATCACAAGCAAGAATCATATCATTGGACCAACATATACTATATGTATATACTTAAGTGATATTTATATATATATTTTTTATATATTTATCTGTATTAATATGTGTTTTATTTATTTATTTTATCTATATATATATATTAACTATTCTTATATATTTATCTAGATTATCTAGATTTTCTTGCATTTGTGTGTATTTAATTTTGAATTATCATTTTGTTTTTCTTTGTTTTCTAATATAAGCAAATACATACATTTAGTAGCCTACCATTATAACTAGGTGTCAAAATGTTATGGAACATATTATGCATATTTTTTCTTCTTGGGGATGGAGAGGTAAGCATATCATAACTTGCCCAAAATCACCATCAGATTTTTGGCTTCTGACATCTTTAAAGTCCCAATTTAACCGCTGCCAGCAGCTAAAATATTTGCACAAAAATGGTACTATAAATGTATATGTAAGTGTTCACAAATGTGTACTACTATGCTTTCCAGGAGAGCCGCTGGGCAGAGGGGCATTTGGTCAAGTTGTGGAGGCGTCCGCATATGGTATTGAGAAGGCCACCACCTGTACTACAGTAGCAGTGAAGATGCTCAAGGGTATGAGGCATCTGTTCACTGGCCTTAATAAACTGACTGCACATATCTTTCATAACACAACTGACAGCAGCATTATCAATCTCCAACAGAGGGCGCTACCACCAGTGAGTACCGCGCTCTGATGTCTGAGCTGAAGATCCTCATCCATATTGGTCACCATCTCAATGTGGTCAACCTTCTAGGAGCCTGCACCAAACCAGGAGGTGAGTACCCCTTTAAAACCCTCAAAAAAAAAAAAAAGTCAGAAATGCCACAAAGTGGTTGTGCATTGTTGAGAAGAACACGTGTGCCCACATTAAAGGCCTTTCTTCTTCTTCCTCTCTTTCTTTCCAACTTTAGGACCCTTGATGGTGATTGTTGAGTACTGTAAACATGGTAACCTCTCCAGCTATTTAAAAAGCAAGCGAGGAGAGTACAGTCCCTACAAGGTAAATTCCATCATTACCTAGTGCAACTAGTAAAATCAGGCTGTGATGTGGTTTTGAAGATCTCAGCTCCTCTGATGTGGTCAGATTGATTCGGGTGCCTTATGTAAGACATAAGCCAACTGTAAGGCCTTTAAATGTTGTTCAAGGTTGAAGGTGTTATGAACTGTACCTGATATGTTGGTACTTCTTGACCCTGACAACAACGGAAACTGATCCACATGTGTTGTGTTTCTCAGAAGCGAATGCCACTGATGCCGTGCAGGAGGGAGGTGCAGCAGGAAGAGGATTTGCATGAGGGGGATCTGGGTCTGGGAACCAGCACTCGGCTGGACGTCTGCACTGGTACTGCCATGTGCACCAGGATGGGAGAACAGACCTCCACGACCCAGCTGCAGGATGAACAAGGTACTGTATATTAGTCTGTTGGATACTCTGAACTGTATCTGGATGGAGATAAAAATGCACATTTTTATGTGTTTTTGTCATTTTAATATATCAGTTTTTGTATTTCTATTCATCTTTTACTCCAACTTATTTATTTCAGTTAGTTGCCAATGTTTTTTAAGATTTAGGTTTATCAAATATTTTGATTTGACATTATTTCAGCTTTATTTCAGTCACTGAAAACAATTTTAATTGTTCTAACTTTAAAAAACATTTTACCAAATGTAGCCTAATGTAAGATTCAAGATATATTCTCTATTAGAATATAAAATTAAAATATTAGTAATTATTCTAATTATTAAGCAGCTTTAATGAGCATTATTTAAAAACCTACAGGGAATTTTTGTACTTTTAAAAATTAATTTGTCTCACTCTAAATTAATTAAAATTTAAATTTTTTTTAATAATAAATACATACGCAAATAAACAGTTAAATTATTTTTATATTATTAATGGTTCTTTTAATTATTAGGCAGATTAATGAGCTCATATTATTTGAGAAAATAGATGGAATATTTGTAAAAATTGATTTGTCACACTATAAATGAAAAATAAGTACAAATAAAATTAACTGCAGAATAAAAATAAATAAACAAACAGCATAATTATTTTATTAATAATTCTTCTAATTATTAGGCAGCTTAAATGAGCTCACATTATTTGCGAAAATATATGGAATATTTTTAAATACTAATTCATCACACTGTAAATTAAAAAATAAAAACATATATATAATTCATTCATTTGATAAAAAAAATGTA